TCTGTTTGATGATTGATTTTGCTGTACCCCGCTATATTTTCTTTCCTATTTTCTAATCATTTTGTAACACATGGGCTGACATTTCCTTCCCTTCTCCTTTCCTTGGGAAAATACAATGAATAAAAAGTCTTATTGGTACTCAAATGGTTGTCAGATTATTTTGGGTGTTTTTTCTTCCCCCTAACTCCCACCTTCTTGGAACTCAGAAGTCACAGAAGAACCATTAAGTTTTTCCCGTTCACTACTTTGTTAGGAGTGAATCTTTTAAAAGTTCAGTCCTCATGGCACCTCATTACAGTGGATTTTTGTTTCTAGTTAAGGCCTCTTGTCCTTTCCTTGGAAGCTGCCACATTCAAGAGGGGATTAGAGTCTTGGCATGCATAAGAATGGGGTTGCCTATACCACTGGCTGGGATGAAAGGATGGGGCCATGGCTTGGGGCATGAGACCCTAATAATACTTTGTTCCCTGCTCCTCAAAGCCCTTTACAAATCTTAATTAATTAACCCCTTGCAGCACCTAAGAAGGAAAGTATGATTTGGAAATGTAATTTACTAACTATAAACCAACATTTTCTTTGGGCCACAGTTTGCTAGCATCTAATGAACATTGAATTCTTAAACATCTGTCTTGGCTTCAAGGGAAAAATCACTCATTTGAGGCAAACCAAGAAAGGCAAGAAAATGAACAGGATTAAATTAGGCTCTGGCAACCTTACCAGAGAAAGGGTTAGAAGTTTCACAGAGTCTGTCCAGGTTTGCAGCTCCTTAACTAATTGTAGCAAAAGTCAAAGTTGACAGTGGAACCTCACAGCTCAAAAAGGTACTACTAGACTTATGTTAAAGGACGTGACGCAAGAAATAAGTGCTAGGCTGAAAGTGAATCCCTGCTTCACAAGGCAGGGGATAGGTGAGGTAGTCATCTCCAGGGTTCTAATACTGCCTTGGTTGGGTACCCCCTTCCCCCATGGGGGAGATGAACACAGGCCTATACTAGGCACTTGCTATTTAGCTACACACCCTGACTTCCTTTTAAAATAATTTTTCCGTCAGAAAGAGGAAGGAAGACATGGCGTACCATTGCACCATCTATTCCTCATCCTGTTTGCCTGCAAGGCAAAGTGAGGTAAAACAAGGTTTGTTGAAACTGGTGAGATGGAAGTTGCTTTATCCTTTGAAAGGAACATTGGTCGCCTCACTGTAAATTTGTTTTGCCAATTTTGAGAGAATGAACTACCCATTTCTTTCAATCAATGCCTAGAAGTCCAACAAGGTTTGGTACAAGGCTAATACCCTTGATTTTTCTATCTTGACTAATGGCCTGTTTTCTTTTTATTGTATTTTCTTGGTAGTAGTACCGCGGTACAGAGCTACATCCCCAGCCTTTTTTTTTTGGTGGTACGGGGATCAAACTGGACCTTGCACTTGCCAGGCAGGCGCTTATGCCGCTGAGCTATCTCTGAACCCCGGGCCCTTTTTTCAGCTTTCCTTAAATTACCCAGACTGATCTGGAACTCAATCTTGCTTCAGCCTCCCAAATAGCTGGAATTTGATTAAGGCTTGCTTCACCGTGTCCTGCTGGCCTTTATTTTAGGAGCCTTCATTTAGCGGTACTGGGATTGAACCTAGAAGTCCTTAGAGCACAGCTGGTTTTGACTCTCTCCCTTCCATCTGAGTGGCTTTTCCGTGGGTCCAAGGAATCTGGAAGTCATAAAATCTAGGTTGATGAATCCCAGATTGACCAGGGCTAGGAACTTCTTCCCAAGCGATTCGCTCAGCCAGATAAAAGGCAATACTTTAAAAACATAAAGATTAAAACTAGGGGCTGGTGAGATGGCTCAGTGGTCTAAGGCACCTACTTAGAACAAGCTGAGCTAAGCAAAACACAGAGACCGCGGTTCAATCCTCCAGCACCACATGCCAGCCAGCCCCGCCCCCTGGTGGGCTGAGCTGGCCACACACACACACAAAATAAATAAATAAATAAAAAATTTAAAAAAAAAAAAAAGACTAAAACTAAATCGTAGCCGGGCGCGGTGGCGCACGCCTGTAATCCCAGCACTCTGGAGGCTGATGGAAAAGAACCGCCGTGAGTTCAAGGCCAGCCTGCCCTACACAGCAAGACCCGGCCTCAAAACAGAACAAAAAGGGCTAAACCGTAGCAAGGCTCCTAACTATACGGCGCCTTCCAGCGTGAAACCTGACTGGCTGAATACCTTATCCCATTTCTATGCTAAGTGGTGTCAGCGGCCGAAAAAGCACTCATTTTCCTGCCATACTTTACAGAGGACTTCGGGCTGGCCCTTGTACGCCAGAACTCTACTTCCTCACCGGTTCTCCAGTCAAGTCTGGAGTCGGCCCACAGTTTACCGCTCAGTCACGTGAGCTTGGCTTTCCCATGGCCCCGCCCACACCTGGCGGGCGCTCGCGCGAAAAGACCAAGGGCGCTTCAACCTCGCCCGCACGCGCAGTGTGGGGCTCCGCCCACTGGGTGCAGGAAGGGGCGTGGTTCAGCACCCAGAGATGACGTATTTTCCCAGCGCCACGTCGTGAGGAAGTGTAGGCGGTCTGCAGCGGTTGAAATAACGCCAGGCAGAGCCACCCAAGTGCTAGAGCCGAGAGGACAGGCGGTGACAGAGCGGGGAAGAAGCTGCGAGCGAAATAATAGCAAAACTAAGAATAACTAGGAGACCAATAAGGTACGAGGGCGCGGGTTTAGTGACTGGGAATGCAGAATGTGAAGTGGCTTACGGGTGGGGGAAGATTGAGAGGGAAGGTACGGCTCGCGATACAGTAAGCACTATGATGTGGCAGAAAGCAGACTTAGGTGGTAAGTCAGTTCGGATCAGGAAGAAAAGAAGATGGCATCAAAGTCCACTAAGAATGAAACAAGGACTTTTTACCCAAAGATACGTTTGGCTTGTGCATCTCTGGGGTGTAAAGGATTAGTGGCTTCTCCTAGTGTCTTTGGAATTCTAATGCTGGCTATTTTCCACAGTCCACGCGAATCTCTAGGAATTAGGTGTAGCTTTTTGGAAGCACTGGTGATTTATTATGTTCTCTTTTTTTCCCCTCAAGGTTATCTGGCTGGTATCTTGTTCTGGGTGTGAATTTCTGAAGGGGAAAGAATTATGTCATGGATCAAGGAAGGAGAGCTATCACTTTGGGAACGATTCTGTGCCAACATCCTAAAGGTGAGCAGTAGCTCAGAGCACCAGTTGTTCTTTTTGGTCAGTTAGTTAATTTTTATCAGAACCTGTTATTAAAGTAGGGCAATCATTGATGTTAAGTGGAATTTAGCAAGGGAACTAACCCTTGGAATAGTAAGGTAAGGGGCCAGGGAGATAGCTCAGTAGAATAAGTGCTTGTGGCCTGATTTCAATCCCCAATTCTGCCAAAAAAAAAAAAAAGAATGGTAAATAACTTTCAGTTCTACATTTCTGATAAGTTGTTCCAACTGGCATTTTCAGGTAGCATAGACTGTTAAGGTTTTCTTCTAGAAAAGTGAACTTTGTTTCCTCCGTAGAACTTTGACCCACCGTTCCTAGTATTGTTCTCCGGGTTTGGAGAAGGAGGGTTTTTTTTTTGGCTAGTTCTGGCTACCTTAATGGTGGTGGGTGTGGTGTGGCTTATGGGGCTGGGAATCGAACCACAGTCTCCTGTGCCTGACTGCATTTGCCCAAGCAGCACTTTAAACAACTGAGCTATGGAGCAAGCCCCCCAAAATGGGAGGGGGGGTTTGGGGGGTATATTTCAGGCTGCCTTAAAGGTGGGTGAGGTGTGGCTTGTGGAGTTAGATGGCACCGTGGTCCCCTGCGACTGACTGCGTTTGCCAAAGCGGCGCTTTTAAACAGCTGAACTAACTGGCAAGCCCCCATCCTCTGGGTTTGGATAAAATAATCTTTGATGTGGCAGTAGGGCATAAGGTTAGCAGTTTGGGCTCTGAAGGCAGCCCAGCATGGGTGAAAGCCCTATTATTTATTAACCATCTGACCTTTAATAATTACAAGGGGGCTGGGGAGATGGCTCAGTGGATAAAGTGCTTCCCTGGCAAGTGCAAGGGCCTGAGTTCAATCCCCGGTTCTGCCAAACCCCCCCCCCAAAAAAAAAAAACCAGACTGGGCCTGGTGAGATGGCTCAGTGGTCTAAAGCACCTACTTAGAACAAGCTTAGCAAAGCACAGGGACTGCGGTTCAATCCCCAGCACCACATGCCAGCCAGCCCCGCCCCCTGGTGGGCTGAGCTGGCCACACACACACACACACACACACACAAATAAATAAATAAATAAAAATTTAAAAAATAATAATAATAATTACAGGGTTAAAAAAATAATTATAGGGTTAGTAGGAGGATAAAATTAAACATATATGTATATATGTATATATACACATATACACATATACACACACACACACACAGTATATATGTGCACAACTAATGTCAGGATTCCAGAGTGTCAGTAGCTTTTTTATGTGTGGGAGGGAGATTGCACCTAGGACCTTGCGCATGCTAGACAAGTGTTCTACCTTGGTTTTGCTTTTTGAAAAAAAGGCTTCATGTGGAAGATAAAAGTAAAAAATATTTAAAAAGTGTTGGGGAGCTCAGTAGAATAAGCGCTTGCCTGGCAAGCGCAAGGGCCGGAGTTCAATCCCCAGTTCTGCCAAAAAAAAAAAAAAAAGTGTTGGGGAAAAAACAGTTAACCCCTCCAAGTGAGGAAAGATATACTACAGACTCAAGTTTTGCTGTGGTAGGCAACCCAGAACTGGTCTGTGCCAGATACAGAATTTTGTCTGTCTCAAAAATGCGTTGTTTGGAGTTGCAGTGGCCGAAATGAAGTTTAATCCTTTGTGAATTCGGACCGAAGCAAAAACCGTAAAAGGCATTTCAATATGCCTTTCCACATTCGCAGGAAAATTATGTCTTCTCCTCTTTCCAAAGAGCTGAGACAGAAATATGCTGTTTGCTCTGTGCCCATCCTAAAGGATGATGAAGTTCGGGTTGTACAAGGACACTAAAGGTCAGCAAATTGGCAAAGTAGTCCAGGTTTACAGGAAGAAGTATGTCATCTACATTGAACGGGTGCAGCGGGAAAAGGCAAATGACATAACTGTCCACGTGGGCATTCACCCCAGTAAGGTGGTTATCACCAGGCTAAAACTAGGCAAAGACCGCAAAAATATCCTGGAATGAAAAGCCAAGTCTCGCCAAGTAGGAAAGGAAAAGGGCAAATAGAAGAAGAAATGATTGAGAAGATGCAGGAATAAAGTTTTCCTGTGTGTAACTTTTAATTAAAAATGCTAAAACAAACAAACAAAATGCCTTTTTGCGGCCAGGGTGGTGGCTCAGTAGAATAAGTGCATGCCTGGCAAGCGCAAAGGCCTGAGTTCAATCCCTGGTTCTGCAAAAAAAAAAAAAAAAAAAGTCTTTTTCAGTTTTGTCTTTTTGAGACAGGCTCTCAGTATGCAGTTCAGGCTGGCCTTGAGCTGACTTTGTAGCCAGGCTGGTCTCAAACTTGCAATGATCCTCTTGCCTCAGCCTGCCTGAGTGCTGGGATTACAGGCGTGTGCCACAATGCCCAGATTTTTGTTTGTTTTGAAATGGTTCCTGACATTGAATTTTATTTTTTAAAGACAGGTCTCAGTTTTCCAAGCTGGCCTTGACCTCCTTTGTTAAAATGATCCTATTTCAGCATCCTAAGTAGTTAATACTATAGATGTGTGCCACTGTGCCTCTCAGTTTTTATAAAAATCCTGGTATTTTTTTGAAAATTAGTCAAAGGGCTGGCTAGATGGCTCAACGGACTAAAACACCTGCTTTGGCAGAGTGCAGTGGGGTTCGATTCCCAGGGTGCCGTGCCAGCCCTGCCCCCAGGTCGCACTGAGACAGCAATGGAGACTGGGCATAGTGGAACGCTTGTAATCCCAGCATTTGGAAGGCTGAAAACAGAAGACTCACTATGAGTCCAATCTACGTAGTGAGACCCTGTATACCCTGTACCAAATACATTTTTTTTAAAAAAATTAGGAAATCAGAACAGTTTTGGGTCCCCACTCCTGTGTAGCAGTGGTTAGCTAGATAGAACTAGGCAGTGAATGCCTAGTTTTTCTTTTTTTAGGGGGTGGTGGGCAGCTTATGCCACTGTTTCTGTGCCTGTTTCATATGGAAGATGCCCTGTTTGTTTGATTGTACTGCCGAACAGTATTCTTCCTTTGTCTTGTTGGAGACTCATGAAAACAAGATGGTAGCAAAGAACATATTTTTTTTAAAGTTTATTTATTTATTTATTGTGTGTGTGTGTGTGTGTGTGTGTGGCCAGCTCAGTCCACCAGGGGGTGGGGCTGGCTGGCATGTGGTGTGGGGGATTGAACCGCGGTCCCTGTGCTTTGCTAAGCTTGTTCTAAGTAGGTGCTTTAGACCACTGAGCCATCTCACCAGCCCTGGAAAGAACATATTGGTGCTGGGTGTGGTGGTGCGTGTGTCAGCTCAGCTCTCAGAAGGCTGAGGCAAGAGAATCACTGCAACTTGGAGGCTAGCTTACACTACATAGTGCAGTTCAGGGCCACCCTGAATTGCATACTGAGACTGTCTCAAAAAATCCAAGGGGGAAGAAAAGAGCATATTGTTAGAAGATGAACTCTGGCTGGGGATGGTGGTACACATCAGTAATACCAGCATTCAGAAGGCTGAGGCAGGCCGGGGAGATGGCTCAGTAGAATAAGTGCTTGGGGACTGAGTTCAATCCCCAGTTCCGCCAAAAAAAAAAAAAAGACTGAGGCAGAAATAACACCACAAGTTCAAGGCCAGCTGGAGCTACATCGTCAGTTCAGGACCAGTGTGAACTACATAATGAGACCCTGTCTCAAAAAAATTGAGAGCTTCCTTTCCTGTGAGTCATGAGCTGTGCAAGGTGAGGAGTTAGGGCGCTGGATTTTTTGTTTTTATTGCATAGACAACTCTACTGTGAAGATGGTCAATGTACCTAAAACCCGAAGGACTTTCTCTCTTTTTTT